TGGGTTGCATGCCCCTTACGAAAGCACATATTGTGAGGAATACAAAAATTCGTGTTTCTTTATGTAGCTCGTTAGTCTGTTGTAAATTATTTTCTCAAAACCCTTATTAAATGTAGAAAGTAAAGAGATAGGTATGTAATTGTTAGGGTCAGTATCATCGTCACTCTTGAAAACTGGCGTGATTTTGGCAATTTTAAGTTTTGATGGATAAGTCCCTCATTTGATAGATGTATTAAGTATCTCTGAAAGAATAGGACTAATGACGGCACTTGAACAATTGAAAAGTTTGTTAGGTGAGGAGTTTAAACCATAAAATTTGTCATTCGGCACAGGGAATATCTCTGACCTTAATTCTTCAGGTAAAACAGGTTGAAAAAAGAGGGATGAAGTTGGGGAATTGCACTTATCGAGGTAGTCTAGGTGATTTGTTTGGGAAATGGGCAGATTGTTAGCGAGTGTGCTTTCTGCTGTTGCAAAGTGCTCATTAATAATGTTAGGTATCCGCGAACCTTCCTTAACAATTTGGTTGCGATTATTGAAGTCCTTTAGTGCAGATATGGCTTTTAAGCTTTTCGTCCGACGACGTAAGAGTTCATTGATTCTTTGCCAGGTTTTTTTTCATGTTGTCCATATTATTCTCAAAGAACGTACCGTAATATCTCACTTCACTCAAGCGCATACCTGCAGAAATTTTGTTTCTATAGTGTTTGTACCTAACATCGTCTCCCAGTTCGTGCGCACTCTGATTGCATTGTATCGTCGTAACGCTGTTCTCAATATGGTGGTGAAAGCTGCCGAAATTAGCATATTTTGACCAAAATTCCTCAAAGGTTAAGTCTTTTTCCCTTACACCACAAGTAATTACAATTCAGAATAACGCCGAACGTGTAGAAGTATTTTTTCCCACGTGTTTGTGGCGCATTCAGTTGGTTTTCAAAGACAAGCGCAATCTCTGATCGCTGTCGTTCGATATGGAATTTAAGACCGCTTTTTGAGATCGACAATTTCATGGGCGTCGTACTTTTAAGCATTTGAAAAATTTGGAAGGCCACTTTGATTCGTCTCCAAAAGCCCTATCTATATGCTTTCAGACGCTCTCCAACGGCACTCGTGTTAATGCATCTATTGGTGCCATTGCTTGAAGACACTTTATGTCACAACTTTTTGGAATGTAACAACGACACTGCATGTCCTATTCTCTTCACCTTTTTTCTGAAAAGGTGAATACCGGTACCTAACTTGATACCCAACATATATACTTAATCAGTGTTAAGACTTTTCAGGCCAAAAATGTCACAGAAGACATTACATTTGTGGCCTGAGACAAACTTGTCAATTGCCATCTGTGACAAGTTACCAGCACAGTAAAGTACCTCAGCACTACCATCAAAAAGTTCATGAGAAGCAATTTTTGGGTCTAATAATTCATACCCAATTCCTTGTATGTCTAGCAGCGTGAGTTTTTTTTCTGACTTTTCTTAAGAAAAATGGGTTATACATTGAGCCTTCTGACCCATAATAATATCTGTTTCGTCGTCGCAACAATCACCAGTATTGTTTCAGTATTTGGTAAACTGTCTATCAATAAACTCCTCCACAGTCACAACTTCTCCTTTATCATCTTCACCGTAGTAGATCGTTCTATATCTTGGGACCTTTCCAAATGCATCAATAACATGTTTTTCAGCGATTTTTTATTCCAACTGGCAAGCAAAATTCTTTGCAGGAAGATGCATCTGAACCACCTTTTGGGTGTGTTGTTGGCCAGTTTTCCCAATGTAATTTATTCCCTTCACGGCATCAGGAAGGTATCTTTTAATGACCCAAGTACTCCCCTTGAACTGTGGGTGCTTTTTGATTGCTTTGTATGCATTACGAAACCCACCGTGAGCAAACGGCTCCTTTTCTTCATTGAATTCGGCAGTTATTGGTAACTTGGACCATGATAAAAGATCCATGTCAAATGTGTGCGACTGCAGCAATGTAGTTGGGTCTTGGGTTGTACCGATCTTCCCAAGTTTAATCATGTCTGCGACTGATAGACTAAGGGGAGCAAATTTACTTGGACTCGATGAAGCACCGCTACCTTTAACAACTTTTGGTGGACTAGAGGGGCCTTCTGATCTTTTAAGAGTATGGCTATGGGATCGTACCATTTCAAGATCACTTTTGCTAATCCTCCACTCTGGTACGCAATCTTGAATGTTACCAGTCACGAATCTCACGTAAATGACCTTCATATCCGGTATCTGCTCCAAGGTCTTCCAGGAAGGACCCTGCTCTCCTGTGCGAATATCGTAAACAGAAACGTACCAACTTGCGTGGCAAAATGCCTCTAACAACAACGTTTAATGTTCTCGATTGTTAGTTCATCTTCCGCGAATGGGAATAATTATTAACTCGGTCCAATTCTGGCTTACTTTTGGGCTTTTTCTGATACCTCTGAAGATAATCGTTGAACTGTTAGCTCCTTTCCTTTAAGTAATTTATGCGTTGTATCTCCTGCATCACGCTTCTTACCTGCTTTCGCAGCCACTTTATCTTTGAACCTTTTCCACGCGGCATCCACCATATTGGAGTCTTGATAAGCATCCTGCAAAGAATTCTGGGTTTATTTGGCAGCTCTCGGCCATTAGGCAGCGTTCGGCTACGAACATTTTTTTTCCGACCGCGAAGAAAAAAAAAAGTGGCAGCGCTCGGCCGGGTAGCATTTAACTTTGATTTGATTTCATTTATCTGTGGTTTCATATTGTTTCTATTTTACATTTTACTTTCACTTGCTTTTACTTAAAAAAAAAAAAAAAATGACAAATAAATCGAAATGAAAAACAAACAAACAAACAAAAACAATTCCAAAAAATTGGAATATTTTTAATGACAGTTCACAGCCACCATACAGAAGTCGCGTATGCCCGTCAAAGACAGTAAGTCCCCATGACATTCCTCGTATATTCACGAAGTCTCGCTGCCACCAAAGGTGTTCATTCGACCGCAACAGGATGCAAATGACTCACGTTTCATTTTAAAACCATGATGCTACTAAACACACACCCTGTTTGATGCCGGTTACGGCCGCTTAAAGGGAAAGTACGGTCTAGAAAAATTTACTTACATCAAAAGGTCCTTCCTTGAATTGTCCTAACTGACTATTCGTTTGAACTAAAAGCATTTCGGATGCGAACAAGTACGTTCCAAAAATTGGCATTTCTCCTAGCACTAGCCAAGCAAGCTAATTTCTATTCCTGCTGAAATGGATGTAAACAAGGAAAACAGTCACGAGGAGAGCGCTACTGATTAAATTCTCGACTTGGATTTTAATGTAGCCGAGAGGGTGTAATGCATCCATTTATGTTTCAAGCAAAACATGGCTCGTCTTCAGGGGAAGAAGATACCTCTGTGAGGAAAAAGGAAGAGGAAGTTAGGAAAATGAATTTCAGAGACAAACGTCGACCCGTTCTCACGTCTTGGAAATCGCGAGTGGTTCGCTTGCGGTAACTTTCAAGAGATCCCTATCGAAGACGAGTATGTATGCTCCAAAGAATTAAATATACAAGGAAATTGACTCAATTTGAAAGGCAAAGGTTTTTTCCCCAGAAATATCCAAGCTCTGGAGCCATAGGTATTTTTACTAATAGAGGAAGACCGCACTACCTGCGACGGATTAATTTCACATTCCTACCTCAGAATGAAACGAGCTGTTTTTGCAGTTTCAGGGACCCAGCTTCGGTGTCTAACTGGATACGAGTTATTTGGAACTAAGAACAGCTCCAGTTGACATGAAGATCATTCTTTTACGCGTAAAAATCGACCAAAATTGATTAGAAACACTTAGTTGCCGAAATTAACGCAGACCAAAGGCAGAAGTAGATTGTTACGAATTAATTTTGCTTTTTTCAGCATTCACCCTTAATTCGCAATAATAATAATAATAATGATAATAATAATCAACTTCATTTAACGAGGGTAACACAGGACAGTACTTCAACTGAGTAACTAGTGGCCCTCAAACTAAACTTATAGAACAAAGCGCAATGTGTTTCATTCTAAATTAAAGTGTTTGAAATGTCACGACATGTTAGAAGTAGGGCTTTGATACTTACGGCGCGCGTCAGAAAGTCGCCTTTGTCATACAGGTTTTTACATTAAAAATCAATTTAAATAAAGCTAGAAAGAAACTTTCGATCTCTTTGGAAAGCATAAGCACTGCATTATTATGTCAAGTAGCTGGCTGAAAGGCATTAAATATTGTCAAATTATTACTATCACATCCAATCGATATGAAATACGTCGTAAATAATGTAATATCCAAGAAAGCTTGTTTCTCACTACAACAGTCGTGAAAATGTGCAACTTCAAAGCGGTCTCGTCGTTAATCCAAAGCAAAATGGACAAAATGGCTGTTATTTTTTTTTTAACTCCTTATAAAAGATCCTTCTAACTGAGATAAACTTTCTCTAGACCGCACTTTTCCTTTAAAAGCCTGTTTTTGTGTACAGGGCGTTGCGTTACATAGATGATGAAACGCCTTCAGAGGGCGCACGCCGCCTGGCCCACATAGTTCTATGGTTACACTTTCAGATCATCCAGATGCAATGATATAAATTACCTTCAGCTGATAGAAAATGAAATTTACAAGATTTTCCCCTCCTTCGAATCTGTGTGTAACAACTTTACGAGAGATCTTCCCTAAAGTCCTGCCTCTTCCCTGGGAGTTATCGTTTATTCGAACAACAGCAGAGTATTTACGAAAAGAACTGCGCAAATATTTTTCAGAAATTTCTAGTATTGGACTTGTTTCAGTGCCCTACGTGATTAAAATACCTTGTTTATTCCAAATAACTGGGCGTGGTTGCAAAGGTCTGACCTCTTTTGTGTGTGCTGCTTAGATTTGAGCATATTGACCATGTTGGACTTCCGGCCTTGCGCAGCTGTCATCTTTTGACATTATATAAAAAGCTGAAGAAAAAGAGGGAAGTGCAGTGGATAGCAATATCTATACCTCATGAAGTTAGCTGTCGGTTAAATCCTTAGATAATGAGTTTATTTCATACCACTTTCGTTCTTTGGCTAGCTCTAGTCCTTATTTCACACGAAGTTTCAGGAGAAATAGGTAAGATTTCGCATTAGACGACTGGGAAGACGTTTCAGGCCCATTTCGGATGTAGTGCTTCTGCCAAGTCGAATTCACGAATTAAGCTCCAGAAAATCATAATAGAAGCGCAGCGTCTGAATTAACCTTTTAAATATTTTACATACTTAAAAAATATTTTAGACAAAGATTTTAATATTTTAAATTTCAACAAGCTCTTCCGCACTACACGATTCTGGCGCGAAAGCGATTTCAACGCTGTGCCTCTCCTTGGGTGAAAAAGAAAAATAGACATCGAAAACAAGATATATTTTTTTCAGAACTGTTTTCTCGCAGGGAATTAGGAGAATAAATTATTACTTGACTTCGGTGCAGCTCTAGCCCGACGTCTGAATCAGTCTTGTCTGCGTTACCGTACTTTTCGAGCCTCAACTAACCTGCCCGTGTTAAATCGAATAGATAGAAATGTTACCCAAGACTATTTCATTTCGTTCTCTTCCTGACCGGAAGCTATAGCGAGGGTAGAAACCTTTTCGTGAACCGATGCTATAGCTTTTTGTAAATACCTCGCTCGAGTCAGGGGTTTTAACATACGTACTATATAAGGTGTTAGAAAAGACTTGGGCTTTCTCTGAAAAAAAAATTTTAAGGAGAGCATTTCGGTTGATACTTCAACCTTTCTCAGCTTAAGATGCGGGAAATTGAAAATGATGAAAATTTCGAGTTTAATAAGGTCCAAAGATCAGCGTGAACGACTAACTTTTTCTACATCTTATGAATCATATGTCAGACCACACATTTATAGGTTGTTACATGTTTAGCTTCAAAGCAATCGCAGCACAGGAATCCTGCTAACTGACTAAAGTCAAACCAAAATACAATTCCCGGTCACATATACGGTCCCATATACAAAAAGGTGGGATGCCCATATAAATCGCACATAAGCATATACACGTCTGTCTCATTAGCATGTATTACTTAGCTTATTGTTCTTCTTTTGTTGACGAACTGCTCTTAGGCGTAGACTATATATACGACTACAAACTGCATTTCAATCGCTTGAGCCGACCTTCCCGATATACTGTCAGTTAATTATGTATGCGACTTCGTACTACGAATATATTAAAGGGTTATTACTTTCGGATGGAATTCTGCGGACGAAATCAGTTTCTCGTCACTTTGCAAAAGACTACATGCGTCGCATCGCTTTGCGAATCATATTTCCTCTCTTTCGGTAGAATCCAGAAAGTACCCTAGAGATCCTAGGGTTCAGAAGTTTTAAATTATCCATGATCTGATTCCTTTAACCAATTGTCGCAAGAACTTGTGTTAAAAATCTGCTTCTACAGATTTCCACGAAAAATCACCTTCATAAATGAAACTGAGGTCCGCTTCATGCACGTCATCATAGTTATCCCATATGTCAATACAGCCACATATGGTCTACACTCCTTCGGATAAAACTCTGCAAATATGTGGAACAAACTAACAGAGGACCTGAGGTTACTGACGTCGTTGAATAAGTTCAGAACTATAATATGTCAATTTTCTTTCCAAAATGAAATTTCCTACGAACATAAATGTAATTCAGATACAATGAATATATGAAGTTCATATATTTGAACTGCGATATTAGATACGTATGATGCACGATCCTCGCAGTAGAGAGCGCAATTTATGCAATAGCGAAAATCAGACCTGAAAAAAAAGTCAGGCCTGTACGGGATTCGAACCACTGACCTCTGCGATACTAGCCACGGCAAAAAAAGTAGCGTTCACCGTACGGAAAACAAAAGTTGAATTCACGGAAAACGTGGCAATTTACTAACGTTTACCCGTGTTTTGCCTGCGGAAAATCCGACGTTTTCTGTACGTTTTCGCATGGGTGAATC